CGTGTTCAAACTTGGGTCGATTTTCTTTCGTTTACTTCGCGTTAACGTTCTTTTGGGAAAAGCCATAAATCCACTTTCCTCTAGCTATGCGTTAAATAGCAGACCAGACTGGACATTTTTTTCTTGGTTGGCAACCAGTCTAGGAGAATGAAAACCAAGAATTCAAGAGACAAACCGCGGCTGCAGCACTTGTGGTGTTCATGTGAACCGAATGGGTTACGGGACTTCTGACATGACTTGGTACGAACAGTCCAAGAAAACCAAATATCGAAACCATCTGACAGTAGATTTAAACACGATACTCATGTCTCGTGGTCAGGAGTTCGATCTCTGGATTAGGTAGCAAAATATTATACTTTGTTATACCAAGAATGAACAAGGATATACAGTGGGCTATGATAAGATTTTAGCCACCCTTAATTACAGCCATTTTAGCTTGTGTAATAAAGTCTCTTTTTTTCAGACAATACCGTGTTAGTATCAATCTACTCTCATCTATAAACGATAGTTGACTTATATTTTGCAATGAAAGTTCGCGGAAGTAAGGAAATTGGTGAATTTCAACGAGGGCAAATAATAGAATGGCATCAGAGAAATTGCTAGGTTATTCCAGGTTAATTATCAAACGGTTAATAATATTATCAAGAAACTTAATGAAAAAGGCCATTGTGTGGAACAACGTTCAGGAAGACCAAGCATCGTGTCTGAGTGAACGAAAACTGTAGTCAGAGCGTCAAGATGTCATCAACAGCAGGAAAATGCCGCCATATGCGATGAGAAAGACTCTGAAAGAGCTAGGCTATCAAAGAAGATTTGCAAGAAAGAAGACCTTGATTTCAGGTTAACAGAAACCTTCATATGGACTGGGCGAGAGCAAAGATTATGAATTTGGGCAGTCTGTAATTTGGTCAGATGAAAGTAAATTCTGCCAATATTCGAATTCGAAACAGGTTAATGTTTGGAGAAATCAGAATGAGATTTGAAACACCGAATGTCTGCAGGCGACCGTGAAACGTGCTGGGTTTGGAGTAATGGTGTAATGTGCTGTCTGGTTTGGAGGGAAATCTGAGATGATTCTTGTTGACGAGCGGTTGAATAGTCCAAAATACTTTCAAATATTATAGAAAAGACTACTCCCACTATTTGAAACCAATCAAATTGACAAGAATGTCTACCCTTTTCAAAAAGATGGAGCGCAATGTCATAGGAGCAAAGTAGCAGAGGCCTGTTGGAATCGCAAGGAATGAAGTAACTGCCATGGGTAGCTCAAAATCCTGACATGAATCCAATAGAGCACGTTTGGGAGCACCTTGACCGAAGACTTCGAGAGTGTGCAACCAAAATCCCGTCAGTGGCAACCCTTAAAGAAACATTATTAAAGGAGTAGCAAAATACGGATCAGACGATTGCTTAAAACTTGATCAAATCCATGAAAATACAAGCACATAAACTAGCAAATGGAAGACCTACTCCATAATAGTTCCAAATACTCTTTATTTATGTTGGGATTACGGAATTAAATTTTAAAATTGGATGCAGTTTATTTCTCCTGGCTAAAAACTTTTCTTAGACCACTGTAATGCGAAAACAAACACACATAATATATGCCATATCTGCAAAAATAATGGACACCTGATGATGACCATAGGGTACTTGGTCGAAACGTCTGGTCTATAATAACAGGTATAATAATGAAGATTAAAGTCATAGAATATCGAATATTATTGAGAAACAATGGATGAGAGCTAAGTACTTTCATGGCAACTGCTCTGACGAGCTACTTTCACTGGTTCTCAAACTGCATGAATTTAAGCGTGCTACTAGGTTGGCATCTCGGACCCACCCTTTCACTGTCGAAACGACAATCTAGCCATTACTTCTACTCCAATAGCTTCTTATCTCGTACCTCCCGTCGGTGGAACTCCCTTTCTATCACTTTATTCTCTGATAGCTATAATTTTCAATATTCTAATGTAATGTCAATCGACATCTGATGCCTTGACTTTGATCCCTGTCCTTCGCTTTACACTTTTCCCAAACACTCCTCGTTACTCTTACTCTCGATCTCTGTAATCCTTTACTTGGAGCGATTTGCTTAAAAAAAAAGCTTGTGAGCCATTCAAGGTAGATTATAAAGATACGCATGTTAGTTAAAGAATAACTCTTGACTTGAAATGGTAAATATTCAGGGAAGCATCCAGCTAGGAGCTGGTTCTAGAAAGCAGCGGTTTGGTGGAAAATCTCTCTGAGAGGTAGTTATTTCTTACAAGTTTAGTATGGAGGAAATGAAAGTGATTCGACTCGGTGGAGGCAGCACGGTGTGTCCTAGATGTAAGAGACTTATCGGAAAAATCATGGAGGGGAAGAAAGAGTAGACTAAAATAAAAAAATACAGAGAAGAAATCCAGTTACAATAAAAAGAAAATGAAGAAGTGGGCGTGTAGAGGGAAATTAATAACGAAAATATACAAAAAAAAAAAAAAAATGAAAGATAACGAAAAAAGAATTGGTTGATTTTGTTTAGCGGCATATCAACCTCTTTTGGTTATTTAATGTCGAAATCTAAATATTTTGAACGCAATTTTATGGCTTCAACTAAATATATTTTGAACTCAGTTACATGCCTTCAACTAAAGATAAAATGTATTGTTGGTCATATTCCTTTAAAAATGTATTGTTGATCATTTTATTATAAATAAGTATTGTTGGTTGGTTAATTTTGTTTAGCAGCATATCAAAATCTATGGATTATTTAATGTCAAAATCAAAATATTTTGAACACAATTTTATGGCTTCAACTAAATATATTTTGAACGCAATTACATGCCTTCAACGAGAGATAAAATGTATTGTTGGTCATATTCCTTTAAAAATGTATTGCTGATCATTTTATTATAAATAAGTATTGTTGGTTGGTTGATTTTGTTTAGCGGTATATCAAACTCTATGGATTATTTAATGTCGAAATCTAAATATTTGGAACATAATTTTATGGCTTCAACTAAATATATTTTGAACGCAATTACATGCCTTCAACTAAAGATAAAATGTATTGTTGGCCATATTCCTTTAAAAATGTATTGCTGATCATTTTATTATAAATAAGTATTGTTGGTTGGTTGATTATGTTTAGCGGCATATCAAACTATGGATTATTTAATGTCGAAATCCAAATATTTTGAACGCAATTTTATGGCTTCAACTAAATATATTTTGAACGTAATTACATGCCTTCAGCTACAAACAAAATATATCGTTGGTCATATAAATTTGTATTATTGGTAATATTACTATAAATATGTACTGTTAGTAATTTTACTACGAAAAACATTGCTGGTAATTTTTTTTAAAAATACAAGCACTCAACTCGACAGTACTACTTTTTGGGGTTCGTCACCTGCTCATAACTGGGATCCAAACAGGTGTCAGCACCTTGGGTCAGGGTGTAACCGTGAACAACATTAATTAAGAGGCGATTCCACGCTCCTCAAAACCGTTATTCTGCTTTCACAATTGAATTCGGTTTGATTTCTTTAAGAAATTGTAGGATATTATTTGGACTAGTGTCATGAAAAAGTTCTTGTTGATTGGTTGATTTTGTTTGGCGGTATATCAACCTCTATGAGTTATTTAATGTCGGAATCTAAATATTTTGTACTTAATTTTATACTTTCACGGTAAAGGTATGATTTTTAGATATATATTTTGTAGATGATAAAATGTATTGTTGGTAAACGCAAAAAAAAGTAAAAAATAAGAGTGTCAGAAAAGAAAAGAATGAATCAAGTCATGAAAAAATATGAAAAGCGAAGGAAAAGAAAAGAAGTGAAAAGAAAAAAATATGGAAGGAGGGGATTAATTTATGAAAAATGAAGAATGAAATGTTTAGAAATGAAAAAAAAAAAAAAAAAAAAAAAAAGAGTAGCACTATGTTACATTTTGCATCTCTTATAGATCCACGTACACTTCCCAGTATATTTACAATTTCTGACCATGAGACCCGGGTTCGAATCTATCCATGGTCGATTTGTCAGGAAGCAGACTTCCTGATGTTGTCGGACTGGAGGGGTCGATCCAAGCGTGCGTCACCTTTGAAAAAAAACTGAAAACCATACCACGTGTTGAACCAAACATTGTGAGTGAAATTGGGTAGATGGAAACCTTGCGTGCCGTCGATAGCTCTGCTAGCACGAACTCACAAGTCATCGTGACCGAGGGATTGAGCTTGCTGACTTTGTTCAAATTGTTTATCACCCTAGATAACACGCTCTTTCTCAGAAACTGTAACTAAGGTCTGCTTAGCATAGTTGCAGTAGAAACCACAAGTGGGCTTTGTGGGTGTTGAACGAACACAAATGTACCTGAGCAAGCATCTGCAATAGGGATTGGCTAGCCGCCCTAATAGACGGGTATTCTCGAATATGAATGGCTAGTTATACATATATGCAATATGTTATAGCACCAAACAACGAAATTCCGATGGGTAAAATCTGATATTCTATCTGACGTCCAAATCTCCAATTTGGAAAGTCTTTATTCAGTTAATCTCAAAATATTTGGCGTACTGATAAAAGGTGACATCTTATTGAAGCACGACAGTGTTACCTAATTCATCTGTAACTGACTGAGTTTTAAGGATTGATGCAACGTGTCAGGATAAATTGTTCTTTCATCTTCGACAAAAAATGCTTATAAATCTTAGATTTTTATTAAACCCATCCAGACAGCAAGTTTAAGCAAGAACTTTTTCCCAAAATTAGACAACGTCATTTGGACTTCCGTCTGACTAAATGCAATATCTGGGTTGATTTACATTTCCCCGCGTATAGAACGTTGCTTCATCCCAACAAAAAAATGGCTGTCCGGTCTTTATTCTGGATGCGTTACAGTAAAATCTTCTTTCTGCAAATCGTGTAGAACTTGCAAATGATGGCTCTTTTAAGACGAGTAAACATTTAGAATTTTTATAGGTTGTTGCACGATCAAGCATGTATGGAGTTTCACTGACACTCCGAATAACTGGTGAGGAAGAATATGCGAATGAAAATGGACAGATTGTGGCGCGCGAAAAAGATGGAGTCGAAAAAAAAAAAAAAAAGAGAAAAAGAAAGAAAGAAGAAAAGGAGGAAAGAAGGAAAAAGAAAGAAGAAAGTGAATGAAATTGGGAAAAAGAATTTGGCAAAAGGATCTTTAAAATAAAAGAGGAAAGGATATGGGGAGAAAGAATGACAAAGGGAAGGAGTGATAGAAGGAGAGAGGGAGTAAAAGAGAAAATATGTAAGAACTGAAAAGCAAAAAGAACAAAAAAAGAAAAGAAATTATGACGAGGAGAATTAAAATGGTTGACGTAGGAACTGAAAGAAATAAAATAAATGAAGGGAAAAATAAATGAAAGAAATGAAATGAAAGAATAAAAAAAAATGAAAGAAATAAAAAAAATGAAAGAAATAAAAAAAATGAAAGAATTGGTGTAGAATTGCAAAAAAAAAAAAAATAAAAGAAATTAAAACGAAAGTAAAATAATTGCAAAATAAAAGATAATGAAAAAAAGGGAGAAATAAACGAAGAAAATAATGAATGAATGAATTGAGGGAAGTAGAAAGAGAAGAAAACGACAAATGAAAGAGGGGGGGAAAGAAGAACATTTCAATTGTTTCCCGTTTGAGATAAAAAAAAGAAAAAAATGTAAATGAAAAATCAACAGAAGACAGAGAAAGAAAAACATAATGAAAACAAAGAAAGTATAAAAGAAGAAAAAAAGAGGAGAAAAAAAAAACCAAATGCAGAACGAGAAAAAAAGGAAAGACAGAAATGGAGACAACAGGAGTTCAAATGAAAAGCTAAGAAACATTATAAATGATGGAAAGCCTGACTGCAAGACACGAAAGTTAAGAACGAGGAATAGAAGAAAAATATTCGGACTAGAATACAAAAAAGAAGTTAAAACAAAGCAGACAGCAGAGAAACGGCGATCATAAGAAAGAACAGGCAAAGTGTGGGAATGCAGAAGAGAAAGGCGATGGCACGAAGGTATCGGGATAAGGGGAGATAATACGAGGAATCAACTAGTGTCCCTTTCTGGACTCTGTCTGCTTATCTGATGTGACATCTTGAAATCGTCTTAGACGGAGGTCAGAAAGTGATTGGCAGTTGGCAAAGAGAATGTTGCAACCAGAGAAAACGGCAGAGGAAGACCTCGCAAACACGCCAAGGTGAAGAAAGCAACAACAACAACAAATACTATTACTACTGGTAATAACAGCAACAATAACAACAACAACAACAATAATAATAATAATAATAATAATAATAATAATAATAATAATCAGAAGACTATTTATTACGAACATAGAATAAAAAAATAGCAACAGTTATGGAACCAGTAGGGGAGGCGGAAGATGTAAAAGAGACAGAGAATGATAAAATAGACGATTTAAAACTAGAACAAGATGCAAACACCCCCCTCTCTCTGTCACACACACACACACACACTCTCTCTCTCTCTATATATATATATATATATATATATATATGTATATAATATAGTATAAAAAGAGGTAGAAATATGGTAAGCAGAAAGAGACGAAGAAATATAAGAAATGATACAGAGAAGAAAGAGCGTTGAATGTAGAAGAGAGAAAAAGAAGTTAAAGAATGGGAAAAAAAATCTATAAAAAAAAGAAAGAAAGAAAATAAAAAAAAAAAAGGATTAAAAGAAATCGTAGGAAAAATAAATAAATCGTAAAAAACAAAATGATCAAATTGTTGAAAAGCTTTGAATAATAATAAAAAAAAGGACCGTAAACGGGGAAGCCCCAGATTAGAAGAATAAGAAAATGGGGAACGAGAAGAAAGAAACAAAATGAAGAAACGAAAACGAAAGAAGATAAAGAAAAAAAAAAACTGTAATAGAGAAGAAGGAAAAGAAGTGAGTATCCAAGTTCAAGGAGAAAATTAAGTTGAGGCTGGAAGAGAAAAAAGTGGGAGGAAGTAAAATATGCTAAGGGAGAAGATGAAATGAGAAGAAAAAGAAGAAATGGGAGGAAAATATGAATGAGAAAAAGAGAGAGAAGAGAGATGGTAAAAGGATAAATGGAGGAAGAGGAGAAAAGGGGGAGAGAGAAATATTTGAACATAATGAAAGAAAAGAACAGAAAGAAGGGGAGCGGATAGGAAAAAACTAAGAAAATGCGAAAAAATAGGAAAACAAATGAAAAAAAAAACAGTAAAAAAAGTTGGGAAAATCGAAGCGAAGAAGGATGTGGTGGCAATGAAATGAGAGAAGGAGGAGGAAGAGGAAAAAACTGCACAAGCAGAACAAGGAGAGGAAGAGGAAGAAAATAATATGAGAAAAATTAAAGGAAGTGGGAGGGAAACAAAAAAGAAGAGGGAAAAAACTGTTAAAGAAAGAAAGAAAGAAAGAAAGAAGAGGAAAGGACAATAAACAAATAAATGCGGAGGAGAGATTGAGAGAAAAAGAGTAAAGAAAAAAGAACGAAAAAAAAAAAAAAAAAAAAAGAAAGAAAGAACAAAGAAGGAAGGTAAACAGCATACAAGAATAAAAGGATACAGAGCTGATAGGAAGGGGAAAAAAAAGAAAGAGAAGAAACGAAGATGAAAAGGAAGGGGGAGAAAACTTAAAGAAAGAAAGAAGAGGAAGAGACAATAAACAAATAAACGCGGAGGAGAGATTGAGAGAAAAAGAGTAAAGAAAAAAAGAACGAAAAAAGAAAAAAAAGAAAGAATAAAAGGATACAGAGCTGATAGGAAGGGAAAAAAAGAAAAAGAAAAAGAAGAAACGAAGATGAAAAAGAAGGGGGAGAATTTGAAGAGAATCCAAAGAAAAATGACAAAAAGCAAAAAGAAAAATTAAGGAAACCATTAGAGGTTTTTAGCAGAAAGAAGTTAAAGACAAAAACTGTTAAGAAAAAGAAAAGCATTAGAAAATGCATAAAGCACTCGTCTTATTCTCGCCTGCTCACAACAACCACCGCCATAGTGACACGTACATAAACCCTCATACGCATGCGCGAAGACGCGCAACAACCAGGGCTTTTGTAGAGCGTCGAAACGCAGCATCCCACTGATCCAGGGCGGCATCTTGCTGATCATTTAATTACAAAATTTCAAGATAAGGATGTTTCCCTGCTTGTCAGTCAATCAGTATTGGCAGGAGGGGAGTTTTGCCGGTTTAGGGCAGCGGGTGGTCTGGAGGTTTTTGTGTGCTCTCGGGGGATAGATAGAACGGCAGGGCTGGGCTATGTTTTTGCTTGTGTACTTACGAAAACGCCGAAACAACCAACACAGATCTTCGCCAAACACTTTCGGCTCACCGGAAAACACAGATCATTTAATAAACCTCTTATCGAAAGATAGTATTAAATACAAACGCGCAAATAGGACCAGTAGATTGTTATTTATTTATGTCTTATGAATTGTTATATTTGAATAAAAGAACTGGTCGTATAGAGATAATTTGCCCCTATATCGCTACGTCTCTCGCTATGTTCTCCACCACTTCTATTTCACCACAAGAAAGGCAATAAAGCCACTAAGATGCAATGCGTTACTGATTGCTAGAGAATATGAGAAAGGCACTATTAAGGAGAGAGAACAAGAAAAGAATAAGAATTTGGAAGACCGGAAATAATGGTTGGCGTAACAAGAAAAGAAAAATGAAAAATTTTAACAAGGAATGAAAAGTAATCTGAATGAGGAAAAAAAAACGAAGAAAAATAGAATATGAAGAATGATAAATTTAAAAAAATAAAGAATGTGTAAAAAAAGGAAGATTTAAGAAAGAAATTTCATAAAAAAATAAACGAGCCGTAGTTATGCTAAATACTAAGTAAATTTCTTTTTAATTATTTCACCCCTAGCAAGGTAATAAAGCCACTAAGACGAAAGGCACTACAAAGTGTTAGAGAATATGAGAAAAAAATACTATTAAGGAGCGAGAACAATAAGAGAACAAGAATGAAGAAAACAGAAGATAACGATTGACATTGTATTTAAATTTTTGATGATCAAATTTGACTGGGAAGCAAGAAGCCAGAAGAGAGTTACACAATCAAAGTGCAATAGAAGAAACTATTAGCATAGAACATACGGTTTCATCTAACCATTTCGACTGTAATGGTGAGACCTTTCCGCCAATCTAGTACTGCGCGTAACTTCATGTAGTCTAGGAAACGTAAAGGAAAGTTCATTAGCACAGTTACCATGAAAATATTTATTTAAAAAAAAGGCACTGCGAATCTACGTTAAGACGGTGGGAAAGTGACTGGAGTCGGGATGCCAGGTGAGGACCAATAACATTGCAGATTCTTCTTTGTATTTTTATCAAGAATCTACAAATTTATAGCGTAAGTACCAGACTAGATTTGGCAGCAATTGTCAATGCATGGACGAATGTTAGACTTGTAAATGTGTAAGACAGATTCTGGTGAGAAAAATCTCCTCGCACGTCACATTGAACCAAATTTCCTAACAGTAGACTTAGCAATTGATTCAATATAATCTTTCCACTTTATGACAGCGGAAAATATTAGCCCGAAAAGGCGCAACTAGTTAATTCCCAGTATGTTAGCATCGACCATGCTGATGGAAGGCAGACAGGGGTCCTGCAGATGAATATTTTCACATTATTATTTTATTTAACTTATCATTTACACACACACACACACACACACACACACACACACACACACACACACACACACACACACATATATATATATATATAACAATAGTTGGCTGTGTTGGCAGGAAGTCACAAGTCATCGTGACCGAGGTACTGACGTTATTCAAACTCTTGATCATGACTGACTTATGAGTTATTAAGTTTAGAGAGACTTTACAGTAGAATCAGGAACCCGCTCTTAAAGTTTGTAAAAGTATTTATGGATTATATCTTAGATTGTACATTTAACAGTGTCTACCGTAAATTTAAAACTTAATAACTCAAAAACGAAGTACTGGCGAACATACGTTTATATGAACTTTTGTCCTTGTTTTAGTGTGAGGAACCTGCCCTCAAAGTTTGTAAAAGTACTTTTGATACACCCCATATCTCTCTCCCTCTCCCCTTCTCTCTCTATATCTATCTATCTATCTATCTATCTATCTATCTATCTATCTATCTATATATATAATTTGTGTATTTAGGCAGCAATCCTTCTTTCATGCACCTCTCACTGAATACGACAGACAAGGTGCATTGATTTCTCATGGGATCTTATAATTTTTTTTCTTTTCGGAGTTTAAATTATATAAAAACTGTCGAATTGTTCTTTTTTTTCTTTTGTCAATATCTTGACCGTGTTTCGAAAATAAAAACATTATATACATACATACATACATACATACATACAAAAACCTATTTCTTGTTAACAGTTAATATATTTCAACCTTGAAAATAGCTAAATGTATAGCCGAAAGCGCCCGAAAAGAAAGAAAAATTGTAAAGTTTTTTATATAATTTATCCCCCGAAAAGTAAAAAATTAAAAGATCACATGAGAAATTGAGAAGGAGCTTATTACATGGAATCTTAACGTGGTCTGTCTTTTATTCAAACATATCTGCTCTGAATTTTACATTGAGCTCTCTGGATATCATCCCCCTCGGGTCTACCCATACGGATTACCTAAGTTTGCATAAACTAAATATTAGCTCCTTATAAAATAAGTTGAGCTCTCTGTTGGATTACCTCCCATCGGATTACCATAAGGATCCAAACTTCCAAACTAAAATGGATAAATTTACACCGGATTACTCAGTCAAGAACATTCCTCACCCTACGATTGAATCCTTCACCAAGTCTTTGACGGAAAAAAATCATTGACGTCATAAAAAGAATGAGGTGGAAAATTCACTTCCATCTTAATCCCCATGACAAACCCACTAAACTAGATGAACTCATATCCTCTCTCCCACCTCACTCCCTCACTTAGTTAATTTTACGTATACTTGATGAGGTCCGTCAAAAACGTGTGAATTTCTTTTCATTTTTCATTTCAGCTTTTGGAAGTAGTCTGATGATCCAGAACCCTGTTAAAGGGGTTATGGTGAAATAGCTTATTACATGGAATCTTAACGTGGTCTGTCTTTTATTCAAACATATATATATATATATATATATATATATATATATATATATATATGGGATGGTCCGAATGTCTTGTCACTCCTACCAAAAAGTAATGAGAACAATAGAAGAACAAGTAATACAGTAATACAAAGCACATGTACTGGATTCAGTTTATTCACTTTCATTAACGCTGAGAAGGTCTGGATGATCACCATGAATTTCGTGGCACAAAATAATGCGGCTCCATATCTTGTGTGATATTTTACGAAGCTGTACCTTGTTGATTATTGCAAAAATTCTCCGAAAGGCGTCCTCCAGCTGATGGGTATTCTCTTGTCGTTCCTGTGAAACTCTCTCCTTGATAATACTCCACAGAGCGTTGAAATATAAAATTATGTTATGTAGTAGTCAGAAGACCGATATATATATATATATATATATATATATATATATATATATATATATATATATATATATATATATATTATTTATTTAAAAATATGATTCAAATCGCGAAATTTTTGGAAAAAATTTTCAAAAAAAGGCCGAAAAATTTCCAAAAAATTATTTGAAGATGGAACAGAGTTTATTTTAACTCTGTTCCATCTAATTTAAATAATTATATTGAAAAATTTTTTTGGAAAAAATTTTGAAACATGGGACTTCTTATGTCGCGATTTGGAATCATATTTTTAAATAAATAATTATATTTATGCTCTTACTTTTGTATCGAGCACTATTTTTAAAAATAATAACTAAAATACTAAGGGACTTTGGATTATTTACCTAACCAGTTACTCCCTATTTTCTATATATTTTCACACACACACACACACACACACACACACACACACACATATATATATATATATATATATATATAAAAAACACACACATACAAACAGAGAGAGAGAATGAAAAAGCTGATATACACTAATGAAAAACAAAATGCTTAGCTTAATTTTTTTTTATCACGGTTCACGATGAGGCATGGTGGATTAATGGATAACGGCTCGGATTATGGTTCGAATTCCAGTCAAGTCCATTACATTCACTTACGTGTTAATACTGTTGGGAATGGTATGAATCGTCTTCTTCTCCACTCAGCTGTTATAAATAGTTCTATAATCTTGGATTGAAAAGGAATAGCATCATACTGCGGGGAAAATCTGCCTCGTCAGTCGTATATCGAAAGATACATAATCGTCTACGCGTATATCACTCTTGGCGCATGACTGTCTGAGTGCACGATATTAAATAGTAATAATGATAAAAAATAATATGAAAGATATTCTTTACAACTGTTTTTTTATGCTTGTCTCTTCTTCGAGTTACGCAGAATTGCATCCACTCTTTAGGAAACTTTATGATAAATTTTTGTTAATACCGGTCTTTGTCGGGGAGTTGTGGATAGCCGCAGAGAGCTATCGAGAGGGCATTAATAATTGCCGCAATTCGTCGGACAAGAAGGGTGCTACATCAGTTGTAACAGGGTCGTAAGTTGAAAATTATCATTCACATTGATTTGCGACTTCGCAGTACAACCATTAACGGCTTTTGAACAGTTTTGTCTATCTTATCTCGCTCACAAGTCTTGGGTCAGTCCGTTTTATGTTTTTCAGTTATTTGTTCCAATCATTTATTCATTGCTCAGTATTGACAAATAATTCCAGTCTTCATTCATCCCTGATTCCCTTTCTTCCTTTTTCGTACCGAATTCTCAGAGATAAAGCTTAAGACGAGCAACAAACATGGCTGATGAAATTCGACTTCTCCCGTCGTGATCAAATCAGTTTGTTGAACATTGCTTTTCCTGTACAATCGTGTTGTGGTTGTTCTTTTCTTTCTTTTTTTTCATTCAATCCAGATGTTGATTTACAGCAAATTTTCTCTGCGGATTACACAGGTGGTTTCTTCTGGGTGCCGAGGAAGGATGTCGACATATGTCGGCTGCTTCTGTGGATTCGCATGGGACTTGGCGTGATTGACATATCCTGCCTTGAAAAATAAGAGGCGCTCTTTTATTTGACATTTCCAGTAGTTTGTGTTATCAAGCACCTATTCGCCTCCATTCCGAAGATCAAGCACCGCACACACACGCGCGCACACACACACACACACACATACGCATACACATATATATATATATGATACAATAGTTACAACTCGACGCAAATACATTACCTACACACACAGATTATATATGTACATTATATATATATATTCCCCATGTATAATATTACTGATCTGATATAGTAGCCTTGAACAGGTTGTTTGCCTCGATTAGGCTTCTAGAGGGTTTGTAGAAAGAATTTTGTGGAAATTGTATTCATTATGTTTAAATCTCCTATTTAAAAAGAGAATGTGTGAATATATTTAACAATATATATATATATATATATATATATATATATAATAATATATATATATATATATATATATTAACCTGACGATTGCGTCCAGCATGAAACATCCTATCGCCTCTGAGTGTTGACTTCAATTTTCACTTTTATATTTATATTTACATACGCTCTATTTCTGATATTGAGCACTTTATCCCATAAATATAGCACACCTTAAAACTATATTTCTTCATATATATATATATATATATATATATATATATATATATATATATATATATATATATATATAGCAGGTGTAACAGAAAAATTGTCCAAATCGTGTAACAGCAAAATTGTCCAATTGTTAGATTAAGATTTGAACCGTTGTATCTTAGAAATGATTAAAGATATCTTAATGGAATTCTCTAAGGTTTTTATAAAACTATTGAACTCTACTTTAAACAATAAGAATGAATTTTGTTCAAAGTTGAAATGATGATTCCTCATAGAAACTCATAACAAATGTTCAAAGTATCCTCTACTTGATTCTACACACACACACGCACCCGTCGGATCATTGACTGGAGAACTCTTTCAAATACTCCCACACGGTGTTGAATGGTTTTGTAGATCGCCATGACACATTGATGAAGCTTCTGTAATTATTAATGTCTGTTGCGTAGACTAATTGTTTTAGGTGGCCCCACAAATAAAAAACAAAAGAAAAAACATAATATAATTTTCAGGGAACGTGCAGGCTAATGAACCGTTCCTCCCTATGTATCAACTTTCATGGTAGATGTCAGCCAGTACATCACAAACAATGTGACTAAAATGTGCTGGAGCCCCATCATGCATGAACCACATGCGTCTTCGTAGCAGAGGTACATCCTCTAGCAGGTCTGGAAGTGTTTTCGAGATTAAGTACCTGTAGACAGATCCTGTAAGACGTGCTGGGATAATATACGAATCTATCAGACAGTCAGCTACAATTAGAGCTCACACATTAAAAGTAAACTGATGCAGGTGTCTAGTTTGTATTTTACCCTGGGGATTCCGATCCGTCCACAAAAGTTGTTTGTGTAAATTTATGATTCAATCACTTCCAAATATTACCTCATCCGTAAACAAGACTGAAGAGACAAACAATGCATCTGTAGTTTGTGCAATAAACCATCAACAAAAGTTTTCACGTGGTGAGTGATCAGAAGGCAAAAGACCCTGCATAAGTTGCAAATGATAAGGATACAGGAGATGCTCTAAAATTACCCTCAATGTTGTACTATGAGATGTACGGCATTTTAGGGCCACTAAATTCGTACAAGTATTGTTGATACACCATGTATATGGGTTAACGACATATATATATATATATATATATATATATATATATATATATATATATATATATATATATATATAACGACATATATATATATATATATATATGGGATACGACATATATATATATATATATATATATATATACATATATATATATATATATATATATATATATATATATATATATATGGATAACGACATATATATGGGATATCGACATATATATATATATATATATATATATATATATATATATATATGGGATAACGACATATATATATATATATATATATATATATATATATATATATATATATATATATATATATATTATTAGAAAGAAGTATGACAAAGTGGAAAAAGTTTTCGTGTGATCCATTTTGTCGTTTAGGACATCACAGATTAAGTTTATATTTACGTTGATACGACAGCATATTAGGACAGTATTTACATTATTCGGACTATTGTCCTCATCTTTGTTGCCATATTTATTACAACGTTTCGGCCGTTGTACACTCCAGTCTTCTTCAGGTGGTTGGAATGTCGAACTGAACCCTTGAGGACACATGACACAGTGGATAAAGGCGTTAGTTAGATCCAGCGACAGGACCCAAAGAGTGTGAGTTCAATACCCGGTTAAGGCGGTGGAGAACTTGGAGAGGGTAATTAACAAGAGATAACTGATAACTGACGCCCATTAGACATGGCACGTGGAACTAGAACAGTCTACCCCAGCGAGCGAAATAATGGGTTCAGTTCGACATTCCGACCACCTGAAGAAGGCCGAGGGGTACAACGAAGGAAACGTTGTAATAAATACGGCGACAAAAATGAGGGCAATAGTCCGAATAATGTAAATAGTGTACGTAATATCTCATCTGAGAAATATAGACAGATATTAGGTCAGGTTGATTTTTTACGTTTTTAGAAAATGAACATTGCCCTCAGTGTAAAACCTAGGGTCTCAGGTGATAAGGATTGACACTAGAAATTAAATTTATAGCTTTTACCAATCTTTGAGCATATTTTGTATTATATACATTGAATGGAAAAATTATAAAAAACAGATTTCTAAATATGAATCACAAGTAAAATATGCAATGTTTTTTTTATTGTATTCGGCAAGTAAAAACTGTGTAAAAAATGTAAAAGATTACAAAAAAGGCTACTCACTGAATAAGATTTTTCAGATCATCATACTATTATAAAACCCAGGTTGTGTGTGTGTGTGTGTGTGTGTGTGTGTGTGTGTTCGTTTATATATTGGATCGGATTTCCTACATTTTTCAACCGATTTCAACAAAACTTCACAGGACTACGTAAAATTACCTTGCGGTGGTTCTGACAGTGCCCAAAACTGGAAAACCACAATTGTTTTTGCACGAAATCAATTTGAAAACACCATTAAGAGGCATCGCTGTCGAGAATGAAAGGAGGACAACTCATATCGAGTTATACTTATTATAAAACCCAGGTTGGTTGTGTGTGTGTGCGTTTATATATGGGATCGGATTTCCTACATTTTTCAACCGATTTCAACAAAACTTCACTTTTTTTGGCAGGTAGTGTTTCTTATTGTCTTGCACACTTTTTCTTTATTTTTACATTCAGAAAGCTTTTGTTTATAATAAAATTCTGTTCAATCGATAGACTCATAACGATTGAAAACAATGTTTTTGTTTGTTTGGATTTGACTAATTCGTAAATAAAAAAACAAAAACAAACAAACAAAAAACAACTAATTAAGACATGCGTGTCCGTCAACCTTAAACAATAATCTTTGTCAATTTTATTTTTCAGTCTTTACAAAAATTAAATTCAAAATTCCAAAGCTACGATTTTGAACCTAAACTTAAACTTTTAAATTCATTTACTCAAAAAAAGGTAACGCTTTGCAAAAAAATATCTTGTGTCATTATTTATCATGTTGACCCTCAAATTTCAAATTGAGTCCAATAGCACGTTTCCAAAATCGGCCTGTCTTACTACACATGTATTAAAACGAAGGAGAGGCGCTGAGAATTTCAAATTTCAAATAATTATTATTTATTTATTTTTAATATGTAATCTAGACAATTTAATTTAGATAATTTTAATTTTGTTTGTTTCCATCATTTTTGTTTTTAAGTAACACACATTGTGATAATAGATCTTCCAAGAAAGGTGAAACCTCCTAAGAACTTGGAAGTAAACAAATTTACTGTGGATGATCCAGCGATTAAAGTATCTATCTATCTATCTATCTATCTATCTATCTATCTATCTATCTTTTCATTTATACTCGTTTTCAGAAATTTTGTTCTCCTTGATATACGTTGAATTTTAATATTTTACGTATAACCATAGTTAGCATATATATATATATATATATATATATATATATATGTGTGTGTGTGTGTGTGTGTGTGTGTGTGTGTGTGTGTATATATATATGTATATATATCTACATCTATAGCTATCTATCTATATATATATGTATGTATGTATATTTAATCATATATATATATATTGAATGAAGACGAATATGAAATTTGTCACTCAGCTGATTGATGCTAACTTCAGTATGCTGTTCTAGAGTATCGTAGACGACTCTCCAGCAATCACTCTGTACACTCTTCAGGGGATATCACCAACATATGTATGTATGTATCTCTTTTTTCTTTCTCTCTCTCTCTTTATATATATATATATATATATATATATATATATATATATATATATATATTTAGAGCGAGAGAGAGAGAGAGAGAGAGAGAGAGGGGTAGATACAGAAAGAACATAGTCATCAACATTGAATGTTGGCTGCCATTTTTGCACATTAATCTACACACTAAATGCTAATAACCCTTTAGCAGACTACATATATAAGTCACTGGAAGATTAAGGGAAGTTGGTCAGTTCTTTTGTTGAATACTTGTGCTAGGCTTCTTTATGGCCATGGCCTCTCGGATTTTTATACATTTATCTATTATTTTATTATTTCATTTATTTATTTGTTTAGAATGTTTTGTTTTGGGTATTTTTCTAGGATTGTAAATCTTGGTATTTGGGATAAAGTTTATTGGAATTAGTAATGGGATTTTAGTATGTTTTTAATCATGATGTGGTTGTGGGTGGCGTAATAGGAAATTCTTCATCTTCGCTGCCATATAGGAGGACCGATATAACTTAACAGTTCAGTACGCTTTTCTTTGTTTCTAACGAAATTAAGGATTGAAGAAAAAGAAAAAAAAAAAGATTGATTAAACAGCCACACTGGTTTTGAAAATATATGGTATTTCTGAAATACAATAAATTTGATAGGATGAATGACGTTTAAAAAAGTTCCCCCAGAAAGGAAAAAAAGATGAAGGATATAGTGATGTTTTCTCATTAACACGTGAATTGACGAATCAGCAAATAGCGAAAATGCAAGATTTCACCCTCGAACATATTTCTGTGAAAATGTTCGCCTTATATATGGGTCTGCAGCTGATAAGATCTGAGAGTTACTCTCACTCATTTCACCTTCATAGTCACTGAAAAGTAATTAGGAAAATTTACCTTCAGGGGACAACAAAAGTAGCCAATGCAGACCATATGTGTTCGATATAATATATAAAAACCCTGCTGCTGGTGAAAAGAAGGCAGATTTGATTTTCTATAAGAAACAGAGACATTATGAATTTGGTTTATTGGCCCGAAGATTGGAGACTAACTTAATGACACAACCGATACGGCTCGCTACGGAGCAACGATCGTAGTCGCTAAACACCAGGTCGAACCGCCTACTTAACAATATATCTGTCTCTCTTATTCTTAATCTAGTTGAATATCTTAAACGAAGAATGAATTGACACGGTAATACGTTACTTAACTTTGATAATCAAAAGCGAAGTCGCAGTAGTCGTCGTCGTTCAAAATATTTTGACACTTAGGAATCACAATTATTTAGCCTCCTTCTCCGACCTCCCAATCTCTTACCTAGCCCCGCGGCAATCATTGGCCTTTACTCCGGCTGCCAATCTCTTCAGCCTCCGCTTATCATCTTTCATCTTCACTATCGGACCTTGTCGCTTGACGGTTCTATTTCCACTTGGAAATCGATCGCGGCAACCAATCGACACGAACATAACCAGACACGTGACATTCTGACGGGAAAATGAAGGGAGGAGGTGAGGGGCGATTGCGATAAAATCCGTTTATTCATGTACGCTCATCGCAAGAAATAGTAAATCGTTATTTTACAACGTTGAACTATTCGTTATGGGCATGAAAGTATTTCTAGTTTAAGTACGCCACGGTTTTCTGAGATGAAACATTTATGTGCATTTAATATATATATATATATATATATATATATATATATATATATATATTGAACTCTCTAGGGAAAAAGGTCGTTTTAAAAAACAGCGGCTCCTACTGCTATTAAGCATTACTCTTCAAGTAAAATTGAATTGAGTTCTATGAGCTGCTGGCTTGTTTCGTATAGGGAAAGTGGTTAAAATTCTCTTCCTTCCCTGCCTAGAGGTAAGAGATCTGACTAATCTCAAATCAATCGGGTTTCGATCCCGGTTCGAGGCAATCGGACGTCTAACCATACTGATGAGCTGTGATACAGCGAAAGAGTCTGATTGAGGAATCAGAGAGCCGAGTTCGGATTCCAATCGAATCCATTACATTCACTTACGAGAAAGGTGTGAATCCTCTTCTTGGGAAAGGTGTGAACCCTCTTTTTCTTCTCCCAGCTATGGGTAAATAGCAGGACAGTCTGGGTTCTATATCCTTGGATGGCAACTGGTCTAGGAGAAGGACAACTCTGAATAAAAAACACTGCGGGGTGTCGTTTGGGCACCCTGTGGCACGTAGCGCACCAGGTCTCTGTATTCGGCCCTTCAAAAAGTGTGGATGGTCCAGCACGAAACCTTCACTACTATAATCAAATTTCATGTGCTGTTGTCGGGCTGTCGGTTTTCTTGGAACTGATCTGCTTGACCCTCATACGTCAAATTCGACGGGAGAGTCGAATATATATATATATATATATATATATATATATATATATATATATATATATATATTCACTATTTTATTGTTTTAAATGTAGTTGCAGTTCGCACTATATAGGAGAACGACGCAAAGGCTAGAGGCTAGAATAAAACAACACGTTCCAGCGAAAATCCGAAACTGGAACTACACTCCCTCGGACATTCTGACCAATACGTATGGGGCTTCCATTGCAGAACACCTTATAAATAGCCATAGTTGTGCTGTTAGTTTCAGTGTAGACGCGTTTACCATCCTTAGCAAGTCCCACTCAAATTACCACCTAAAAGTGTTGAAGGCCATCTATATTCTTTCTTTAAAGCCTTCTCTTTGTAAACAGAAGGACTTTATATTAGGCCTCCAACTAATTTCCATCTAATTTTTTTCCCCACCAATAAACTTTGTCCATTGTTCTTTTTTTATAATATAATTTACTCTATTTACCTCGATTTAGCTCTGTTAAGCGAGGTACGAAACCGGTTAGCTAACCCGTTTTTCAGTTTTACTTTTTATTTTCATGAGTGGTAATAATAAAACTAATTTTTGTCTATTCATGGCAGTGATAAAATTTTGTCCCACCAAATATATCTTTAAATATATATATTAAGAAATGGACAAAGTCTGACAATTCATTTATTAAACACATTATTATGTTTCACGTTCTTTTTATAGATACAAGTATTTAAGTAAATGCTCTGTTTATAATAAACAGTATTAAATAACATTTACCGGCCTGAATGTCCGAGAAATTTTCAAAGAAAATATTCGTTATTTCACAGGATTCGAACCTGCATCCTATACGAAACCGTCATTTACGCTGATGTGCCTTTACCGCTCGGCCACAAAGGATCGTTCGGTTGGCAAGGTTGAATTTACTGCTTATAAACTTCAGTCTTCCATGAATCTCGTACATTCATAATTGCTCATGGCGTATCAAATGTAAACAAATGACGTCATATATTAAGAAATGGACAAAGTCCGACAATTTATTTATTAAAGACATTTTTATGTTTAACGTTCTTTTTATAGATACAAGTATTTAAGTAAATGCTCTGTTTATAATAAACAGTATTAAATAACATTTACCGGCCTGAATGAAATTTTCATTTTTCGGTCAAGGCACGTCAGCGTAAATGACGGTTCCGTATAGGATGCAGGTTCGAATCCTGTCAAAGGACGAATATTTTCTATGAAAATTTCTCGGACATTCAGGCCGGTAAATGTTATTTAATACTGTTTATTATAAACAGAGCATTTACTTAAATACTTGTATCTATAAAAAAGAAAGTTAAACATAAAATGTCTTTTTTTTTATATATATATATATATATATATATATATATATATATATATATATATATATATATATATATATATATATATATATATATATATATATTATCAGTGATGGATATGTTGGTATATAATCCAGGTGGATCCTAGTAATATTATATATTAAATCTGATCTACAGTAAGTTCCATGTATTTATTATAATAGAGCATATATTTTATACAGCAAAAAATCCAAAATTACTTCATGTGGGTTTTGTCTATTTCAGACCACCACTGACATATACCAGTCCTCCTCAGTCCTAGACTGACTGACTGTCTCGGAGTATTCTTAATAGTCCGAGACAGTCTAAGGAAGACTGAAATAGACTATACCCACATGAGGTAATTTTGGATATATATATATATCTACAGGGTGTCCATAAAGTTCGTGTGCACTTTAAAAAATTTAACTTTATTTGTATTTGCGATAGAATTAATTTGTAAAAAATGTTATAAAGTTTAATGTACCTAGTTTTAAGTATAGTTATTGAATAAATCTTTACCACAAAATTTGCAACAATTTTTAGATAAGTAAAAAAAAAATTTTCTTTTTCCAGAATCAATTTGATCCATGGCTTCAACTGAGGAAAAAGTAAACTGTGTCCTTTGGTTGGCTGAACTGAAATCTACTATTGCTGTACAAAGAAAGTTTAGAATTGAATACAATAAAGAACCACCTCAGAGGAACACTATTGCTAAATGTATGAAAAACATTTAAAGAGACAGGCTTTGTCCATGATAAACCACGGTGTAGAAGGTCATGTATCAGAGACGAAAGTGTTGCATCCATAGAAAAATGATAAAGGACATATGGAAACTTTAAAACCTTAAAAAAATATAGATTTACTTTCTAATCCTTTTTACAAATTATTTCTATCGCAAATACAAATAAAATTATAAATTAAAGTGCACACCAACTTCTTGGACACCCTGTATATATATATATATATATATATATATATATATATATATATATATATATATGTAAGCAAATGTAAATGGATATAGATCCGACAGAATGAAGAAAAATTTGGAAAAAACAAACAACATTTAAGGATTTTTGTTTGTTTTTTTCCAAATTTTTCTTCATATATATATATATATATATATATATATATATATATTTTAATAACTTCACCCCAAGCAAGGTAATAAAGCCACTAAGATGAAAGGCGTTGCAGAGTGTTAGATAATATGAGAAATATACTAGAGAGAGAAAAATAAAAAGAACAAGAATTAAGAAGACAAGATTACAATTGCAGACAATTTTAACAATTTACCTAATTTACATCGACTTTTATTCGACCGATATGTTCTCCAGCCTTTTTTCTACTGATTTTCTGATCAGCGATATTGTTATTTTGATGCATTGTTTCTTTCACACCCCTTACCGATTTTTGGTTTTCTTCTTCACAATGTTTTTATCGAAATATATCTCTCCGATATTTTTCTCTCCGAATTTCTGAAGCAAATTGCTAACTGGCTACCCGACTACAATGGCCTTGTTCCAGACTAATCGTTGAATAGGAATTTTCCTCGCCAGGATCAATCTTGTACGTTTAAAAATCTACCATTCTTTTTATTGTGAGACCGGAAACTACCTACACAATAGACTCTTCCAGGCCTATATTAAGTAGGCGACATAGCACTCTAGAGAGTGACACAGAGACACAGAGAGACAGCCGCGTACGACTACCAGTATTGAACATTAACATATAGTAAGCTCTGCTTACACTATCTCTGTAACCTGTTGTTAATATATATTTCTTACATCTAATCCGTGTTCCGTGTTTTACTTCTGTGGTCCCAACTTTGGCCCCACATCACTTTCCGCTATATCTGGTCTCGTCCCTTTGTTATACATCTCGAGATTCTTGATAAAATCTATCGAAGGCGGTCTGCACTGTTATTGGTTCTGACCCGGCATCTTCACGTGAGTCATTTGCCTATCATCGTGACGTGGCTTCCCACTGTCATTTTTAAAAAAATATTTCTCATGGCAATTGGTCAAATGAGGTTTCCTCCTTGGTACCTCGACTAGACATAATAATAAACTTGCAATTAAGATTCATCGTTTTACTCTTGAATTAGCTAGATGTAACCGAAAGGTCTATTCTAATAGTTTCCTTTCTCGCACTTCTCGCTTGTGGAACCCTCTTCCAACTTCTTGTTTTCCTGTCACCTACGATATTCAAAAGTTTAAATGCAACATCAATCACCAATAATGGCAAGAGCTATAACAGTTACTGAACTCGATAAAACTATTTTCCTGAAAAAAAAATTGTTTTATTAGGAAGATTATATAGACTACATTTGACAGTAGTAATGATACTCGGTGTATGAATGACGAATGTTTCCTTATAAGGAAACGGCTAATATTAGCATTAGTATTAAACCGCGTGGACTGGCGCTACACAATCACAAAGAACCATGCCAACTAACAGAAACCGCAATACTTTCAAAAGCAGCAAAAACTAAAATGGATATCACAATGTAACTCGAAGAGAAATTGATAGCATAATGTAGATATTAAATTTCCACACCGTTTCAAACAAACGGTTTGGAAAGAAGACATCATCAGAACTGGTAAAAAGCGATAACAGTGGAATTGAAAAACCAATTTTCTTGAAAAAAAAAACTGTTTTACGAGAAAGATTTTATGAACTTATGCTTCCGGATCCGTCAATGAATGCTGGATGTTTCCATATAAGGAAATTGGCTAAACTTGCTATTATCATTCTTCTTTTAATCCTGCCACTTAATCCTTTCACTTTAATCCTGCCACTTAATCCGATCTGTTTAATCCTATCAGCTTAATCCTGCCATTTAATCCTTTCACTTTAATCCTGCCACTTAATCATTTCACTTTAATCCTGCCAATAAATCCTTTCACTTTAATTCTGTCACTTAATCCTTTCACTTTAATCCTGCCAATAAATCCTTTCACTTTAATCCTGCCAATAAATCCTTTCACTTTAATTCTGTCACTTAATCCTTTCACTTTAATCCTGCCAATAAATCCTTTCACTTTAATTCTGTCACTTACTCCTTTCACTTTAATCCTGCCAATAAATCCTTTCACTTTAATTCTGTCACTTAATCCTTTCACTTTAATCCTGCCAATAAATCCTTTCACTTTAATCCTGCCAATAACACCTTTCACTTTAATTCTGTCATTTAATCCTTTCACTTTAATCCTGCCACTTAATTCTTTCATTTAAATTGTCACTTAATCCTTTCACTGTAATCCTGCCACTTAATCCTTTCACTTTAATCCTGCCACTTAATCCTTTCACTGTAATCCTGCCAACAAATCCTTTCACTTTAATCCTGCCACTTAATCCTTTCACTGTAATCCTGCCACTTAATCATTTCCTTTTAATCCTGCCACTTAATCATTTCATTTTAATCCTGCCACTTAATCCTTTCACTTTAATCCTGCCAACAAATCCTTTCACTTTAATTCTGTCACTTAATCCTTTCACTTTAATCCTTTCACTTAATCCTTTCACTTTAATCCTTTCACTTTAATCCTGTCACTTAATCCTTTCACTTTAATCCTGCCGCTTAATCCTTTCATTTTAATTCTGTCACTTAATCCTTTCACTGCAATCCTTTCACTGCAATCCTGCCACTTAATCCTATCTGTTTAATCCTATCAGTTTAATCCTGCCACTTAATCCTGCCATTTAATCCTATCGGTTTAATCCTGCTACTTAACCCTATCAGTTTAATCCTGTCACATAATCCTGCTACTTAATCCTGTCACTTTAATCATGCCGATTTAATCCACTTTCTTTTTTTCTTTCTGTTTCTATAGCCACCTCTTTTTACTGCCATATACTTTGTCATTTGATATCTATTTACACTTGCTTATGAAAACGCAGTCTTAATTAGTCTTAACAAAGTTTAGTTTAATGCAATAGAAAATTCAATTAGTGGGACACACGGTGAACATCAAATTCACTATATTTTCTTAATTGGTTTGCTGGTCAAATCTACTAACCATTCGGGCTACGGTAGACATATTATTTTCTTTTCATTCCAAATTTTACGCGCCTTTTCTACCACCATGTTTTCCCCACTTGTGATGATGGAAGAAATTCATGAATAAAGAAAAGTGATGATAACCAAAAGCAAAGAGACCAGAAATAGATGAACAGAAAATGAACGGGGGAAAAAAAAAACTTACAGAAGGAAAAGAAGCCATAATTAACATGTTGAATGTTTTATATTTTATCTGCATGACTGAAAA